GCCGGTTTTGTTCAACAGCTTCATTAATGATCTGGATGATGGGATGGATTGCACCCTCAGCAAGTTCGCGGATGACAATAAGATGGAGGGAGAGGTAGATATACTGGAGGGTAGGGATAAGGTCCAGAGTGACCTAGACAAATTGGAGGATTGGGCCAAAAGAAATCTGATGAGGTTCAACAAGGACAAGTGCAGAGTCCTGCACTTAGGAAGGAAGAATCCCATGCACTGCTACAGGCTGGGGATCGACTGGCTAAGCAGCAGTTCTGCAGAAAAGGACCTGGGGATTAGAGTGGAGGAGAAGCTGGATATGAGTCAGCAGTGTGCCCTTGTTGCCAAGAAGGCCAATGGCATATTGGGCTGCATTAGTAGGAGCATTGCCAGCAGATCGAGGGAAGTGATTATTCCCCTCTATTTGGCACTGGCGAGGCCACATCTGGAGTATTATGCCCAGTTTTGGTCCTCCCACTCCAGAAAGGATGTGGACACATCGGAGAAAGTCCAGCGGAGGGCAACGAAAATGATCAGGGGGCTGGGCCACGTGACTTATGAGGAGAGGCTGAGGGAACTGGGATTGTTTAGTCTGCAGAAGAGAAAAGTGAGGGGGGATTTGATAGCAGCCTTCAACTACCTGAAAGGGGTTCCAAAGAGGATGGAGCTCGGCTGTTCTCAGTGGTGGCAGATGACAGAACAAGGAGTAATGGTCTCAAGTTGCAGTGTGGGAGGTCAAGGTTGGATATTAGGAAAAACTATTTAACTAGAAGAGTGGAGAAGCACTGGAATGGGTTACCTAGGGAGGTGGTGGAATCTCCATCCTTAGAGGTTTTTAAGGCCCAGCTTGACAAATCCCTGGCTGGGATGATTTAGTTGGGGTTGGTCCTGCTTTGAGCAGGGGGTTGGACTAGATACCTCCTGAGGTCCCTTCCAACCCTGATATTCTATGAGTCTATGTGTGGCTCTATATGTGAGTGAAAGCGTAGAGTCAAATATAGTAAAAATCTTAAATGCCTCTAACGGTACCATAGAACCTCTCTGGATAGAAATTCCCTGCTTGAATAATAAGAGTAGGGATGTACAGCCGACCACCTGACCCGCAGGGTGACGGTGATTGTGAAATGCCAGGGAGAGTAGAGGGCTACAGAAATAGAAAACTGGATAATAATGAGGGATTTCAACTATCCCCATATGGACTGGGAACGTCACCTCAGGATGGGATGCAGAGATAAAATTTCTAGACCCCGTTAATGACTGCTTCTTGGAGCCGCCCGTCCTGGAACCCGCAGGGGGGAGAGGCAATTCTGGATTTAGTCCTAAGTGGTGCACAGGATCTGGTCCAAGAGGTGCACGTAGCTGAACTGCTCAGTAATAGCGACATGATGTAATTAAATGTAACATCCTTGCGGGAGGGAAATACCAAAAAAAACCACCGCAGTAGCATTTGACTTCAAAAAGGGGAACTACACAAAAATGAAGGAGCCAGTTAAAAGGAAATTAAAAGGAACAGTCACAAGAATGAAATGCCTGCAAGCTGCATGGACACGTCTTAAAAATACCATAATAGAGACTCAAACGAGAGAGAGAGAGAGACAGCCCAAATAAAAAAATAGTCAGGGGCCCAACTAAATGCCGCCACGGCGAAACAGCACAGTAGGAGAGGCAGTTAGAGGCAAAGAGGCATCCTTTAACAATTGGAAGTCAAATCCTACCGAGGAAAATAGCAAAGAGCATGAACTCAGGCAAGTGGTCCAAGTATAATCAGACAGGCCAAAAAAGAATGTGAAGAGCAACTAGCAAAAGACACAGAAACTGACAGCAATTTTTTAAAGTACATCTGCAGCAGGAAGCTGCCAAACAATCAGTGAGGCCCTTGGGTGATCGAGGTGCTAAAGGAGCCCTTGAGGAAGCCAGGGCCATTGCAGAGAAGCGACATGAATTCTTTGCATCTATCTTCACTGCAGAAGATTGATGTGAGGGAAACTCTCACGTCTGAGCCATTCGGTTTAGGTGACGGATCTGAGGAACTGTCCCACACTGAGGTGTCAGTAGAGGAGGTTTTAAAATAACTTGATACATTAAATAGTAATAAGTCACCAGGACCAGAAGGTACATAAGAATGGCCAGACTGGATCAGACCAAAGTCCATCTAGCCCAGTATCCTGTCTGCCACCAGCGGCCAATGCCAGGTGCCCCAGAGGGAATGAACAGAGCAGGGAATCATCAAGTGATCCATCCCCTGTCGCCCATTCCCAGCTGCTGGCAAACAGAGGCTCGGGACACCATCCCTGCCCATCCTGGCTAGTAGCCATTGAAGGACCTGTCCTCCATGAACTGATCTAGTTCTTTTATGAACCCTGTGATAGTCTTGCCCCAAGTTATCACCCAAGAGTTCTCCAATATGAAACTGCAGAGCGACTAGCTGTGGTGTGTAACCTCTGGCTTAAGTCAGCCTCTGGACCACATGCCTGGAGGAGAGCTACTGTGGCTCCAGAGGGAATCCTGGCAATTCCAGGCTGGTAAGTCTGACTTCAGTACCAGGCCAATTGGTTGAAACTACAGCAAAGAACCAAATGATGAGTAACTCAGTGTGTTGGGGAAGAGTTTGGGTGGGAAGTCACGCCTCGCCAATCTATTAGAATTCTTTGAGGGGGTCAATAAATGGGGACAAGGGGGATCCAGTGGATCTAGTGTACCTGGACTTTCAGAAACCTTTGACAAGGTCCCTCATCAAAGGCTCTTAAGCAAAGTGAGCAGTCATGGGATAAGAGGGAAGGTTCTCTCCTGGGTCGGTAACTGGTTACAAGAGAGGAAACAGGGTAGGAATAACTGGTCAGTTTTTACGGTGGAGAGAGGTAAATAGTGGTGTCCCCCAGGGGTCTGTACGGGGACCAGGGCTGTTCAACATATCCATAAATGATTTGAAAAAAATGTGTGAACAGTGAGTTGGCAAAGTTTGCAGATGATACAAAATTATTCAAGATAGTTAAGTCCAAAGCAGACTGCGACGAGCTACAGAAGGGATCTCACCAAACTGGGTGACTGGTGGATGAGATTCAGTCCTGATAAAAACAAGGAGGAGTCCTTGTGGCACCTTAGAGACTAACATATTTATTTGGGCATAAGCTTTCGTGGGCTAAAACCCACTTCATCGGATGCATGGAGTGGAAAATACAGTAGGGAGGTATAAATACACAGCACATGAGAAGATGGGAGTTGCTTTAGCAAGTCGGGGGTCAGTGCTAACGAGGCCAATTCAGTCAGGGTGGATGTGACCCATTTCCAGCCGTTGACAAGACGGGGTGAATATCAACAGAGGGAAATTACTTTTTGTGGTGCTAACGAGGCCAATTCAATCATGGAATTGAAATTGCATTACAAAAAATAATTACCCTCTGTTGATTGGGGCTGTTCAGCTTGGAACAGAGAGAACTAAGAGGGGATCTGATTGAGGTCTATAAAATCATGCCTGGGGTGGAGAAAGTGAAGAAGGAAGTGTTGTTTACCCCTTCTCATAACACAAGAACCAGGGGGCCCAATGAAATTAATAATCAGCAGGTTTAAAACAAGCCAAAGGAAGTGTTTCTTCACACAACGTGCAGTCAGCCTGTGGAACTCGCTGCCAGGGGATGTTGTGAAGGCCAAAAGTATGACTGGGTTAAAAAAAAGTATTAACTACGTTCCTGGAGGGCAGGTCCATCAATGGCTGTTAGCCGGGACAGGCAGGGATGGTGTCCCCAGCCTCTCTTTGCCAGAAGCCGGGACTGGGCGACGGGATGGGTCACTCGATAATTGCCCTGTTCTGTTCACTCCCTCTGGGGCACCTGGCACCAGCTCTGCTCAGCAACAGGACACTGGGCTGGATGGACCCTTGCTCTGACCCAATCTGGCCGTTCGGGCTCTGCCCAGACCCCAGCCGAGATCTGGGCCCCATTGGGCCGGGTGTGCACAGACCCACGGGGAGCGACGACCCCTGCCCTGAAGAGCTCACACGCTAAGTAGATGGGGGAGGGGAAGAGGTTCAGAGAGGGGCAGGGACCCGCCCAAGGTCAATGGTGGAGCTGGGACTAGAACCCAGGTGTCCTGACTCCCAGCCCATCCCCCCTCCCCTGCCTGATGCGCTCTGGACGAGGGACCCTCCCGGACGGAAAGTCTCCTCCCGTCACTGGGGTCACTGTCACGGACTCCCAGATCGTGCCCAAACAAGAAAACCCCCCACTTCGTCACAGTCACCAGCCCAGCTCTGGTTGATCCCAGCTGAGAACCTGGCCCCTTACGGGAAGGGAGCGGCGAGGCGTGCGACCAGCCGAGCGTCACTGACACGGGAGGGTGCACAGCTCCGCCATCGCCCCCCCTCCCCACTCATGCATGGCTGCTGCAGCGGCCTGGGGCTGGCGGGAGGCGAGGCCGGGTGTACCACGCAGAGCAGGCTGCCAGATGTGCGCTGGATAGGGAGTCCCTGCTGGGGGGGACGGGACCCGCGCTGGGACAGGAAGCTCCGGTAGCAAAGGCAAACAGGCGTCCCGTGGGGGCGATGGGACTGCCGTTCCGGTCCCAGCTGAGGGCCGCTGCGAGAAGACGCACCGTGGCTGGGGGGGAGAACGGTGCCTGGTCCTTCGTGAGCCGGCCACAGGAGAACCAGGAGCTGTGGGGGTGAGACGAAGGGGGACTGCACTGTACGTGGGGGAAGGAAACTCATGCTGCCCAGTGGGCTGTTAACCTGTGGGACTCGCCTCCGCAGGGTGAGGTTCCTTGGGCGAGGGACTCCGTGAGTTTGGACAGGTGAGGTGTTCCAGTGCCCGCCGCCGCCTTTCCCTGGCTGGCGCCCAGCTGGGGCATGGCTCTGCCGGCGGTGCAGGACGGATGGACGGACAAGGAGGGTGGATGGGGAGGAGGAGGCATACAGGAGGGCCGTTCTTGCTCTCGCTGCTTGGTCCATTGTCTCAGAGCCGCTTTGCCCCCCACCCCCAGTCAGCTCTGACCCCTTCTCTGCCTTTGCCCCCAGGTGCACCCGCCCCCAGTGACGATGCCATGGCCTGCGCCCCGTGACGCCGAGCTCCGGGCGGCGCTGTGACGGGGGCGGCCCGCGGGCAGCCATGGGGAGCATCTACAAGGATTACTTCAACCCGGACAAGATCCGGGACCACTACAACTACACCAAGGGGATGACAGAGAAGCAGCAGACCCCGGGGCGTGACGCCTTCTCCATCGCCATTGTCGTCCTGTGCTGCTTCATCATGCTGGAGAACCTGCTGGTGTTGGTCTCCGTCTACCGCAACAAGAAGTTCCACTCAGCCATGTTCATCTTCATCGGCAACTTGGCCTTCTCCGACCTGCTGGCCGGCTTGGCCTTCATGGCCAACGTCCTGCTCTCGGGCCAGCGCACCTTCAGCCTGACGCCGGTGCAGTGGTTCGTGCGGGAGGGCACGGCCTTCGCCACGCTGGCGGCCTCGGTCTTCAGCCTGCTGGCCATCGCCATTGAGCGGCACGTGGCCATCACCAAGGTGAAGCTGTACAGCAGCGACAAGAACTGCCGCATGGTGCTGCTGATCGGGGCTTGCTGGGTGATCTCGGTGGCCATCGGGGGCCTGCCCATCATGGGCTGGAACTGCATGGGCCGCCTGGAGGACTGCTCCACCGTCCTGCCGCTCTACTCCAAGCGCTACATCCTCTTCGTCGTCACCGTCTTCACCGCCATCCTGCTCTCCATCGTGGTGCTCTACGGCCGCATCTACTGCATCGTCCGCTCCAGCCACGCCGAGATCGCCAGCGTGCAGACCCTGGCCCTGCTCAAGACGGTCACCATCGTGCTGGGGGCCTTCATCGCCTGCTGGCTGCCGGCCTTCATCATCCTCCTGCTGGACACCTCGTGCGCCGTCAAGGCCTGCCCCGTGCTCTGCAAGGCGAACTATTTCTTCGGCTTCGCCGCCCTCAACTCGGCCATGAACCCCGTGATCTACACGCTGCGCAGCAAGGACATGCGGAAGGAGTTCCTGCGGGTGCTGTGCTGCTGGGGCGTGGCGGGGCGCGGCAAGCCGGCCGAGCGCTGCATGGTGCCCCTCCGCAGCTCCAGCTCCCTGGACCGCTGCACCCAGAAGCAAGACCTGCCCACCTCGCCCATCCTGCGGGAATGCACCACCTCGGTGTGAGGCGCTGCAGGGACAGTGGGCGCTGATCGGTACGAAGGGACCCGGCCCGGAGCCGGCTCTCCCGCGGGCAGACTGCCGGGGCAAGGCGGGCGGGGACTCACCAGGTACTGACAATCTGGTTTGAGTGATCCCGTCTTCCCGAGCGCCACCCACTCCTGCCGGGATCCTGCCTGCTCCCAGCACGGCCTCACCCAACCCGCACGCCCACACCCACCTGGCGCGCGCCCGGGGGCTGGGCGGCGGCTGCCTGGCTCCATGCACGCGGGCCCAGGGGCCTTTCCAGCGGATGCTCCGCCCTGGTCTGCGTGCGGGTGAACTGCCACCTGCCCTGCTGGTACAGGAGGAGGGGGCGGCAGTGAGGGGCTTGCTGCAACAAGGCCGGCCAGGGGGCACGGAGGGGATCTGGGCGCAGTCAGGACCAAGTCCCCACTGCACATATTTCCCCTCGCCAGCTGGTAGCGTCAGGGCACCAGGTGCCCCCCGCATGGCGCCCAGCCCCGGCTCTGTGCGGCGAGCAGTCGCTGTTGTGGGCAGGGTGAACTGGGGTCCTGCTCCAGCGCCGCCCCCAGATGCTCCTCTCCCCCAGGGGGGGGGCAATTTAACCCCCCCGGGGGGGCCCCGCCGGCGGGGGGGGGGGGGGGGGGGGGATGGGCTCCTGCAGGGGCTGGGGGCACGGCTGGGCTGTCTGTTGGCCCCTCCCCCCCTGCAATCAGTGCCTTTCCGTCCCCCTGTCGAGTAACAGGGGCTTGAGCGGTCCCTCAGCAAGCAGATCTGTGTCGCTGTCTGTCCATCCCTACGGTACCGCCTGTCTGTCTGGGGTCCCCTCGGGCCCTGCTCGCCGCACGGCCCCCAGCTGGGATCGGAACAGGCTGAGCAGGGAACGGGGCAAGAACCCTCCAGGGGCCCACGCCTGCTTAGAGCGAGTGTGTCTGTGCGGTGCACTGCGTGTGTGTGTGTGTGTGTAGGCAGAGTGTGTGTCTGGCTGTGCAGTGCAGTTTGGGTGTGTAGGGTGTGTAGGCAGAGTGTGTCTGTGTGGCTGTGCGGTGCATTGTGTGTGTGTAGGGTGTGTAGGCAGAGTGTGTCTGTGTGTCTGTGCGGTGCACTGTATGTGTGCAGAGTGTGTGTGTCTGGCTGTGCGGTGCAGTTTGGGTGTGTAGGGTGTGTAGGCAGAGTGTGTCTGTGCGGTGCACTGTATGTGTGCAGAGTGTGTGTGGCTGGCTGTGCGGTGCAGTTTGGGTGTGTTGCTCTCACGTGCCCCCCGCTAGGCCTGGCCCTAGGGGCACAGGCCTTTGCCGGCTCAGGGGCTCTGCTGGGTGCCCTGGGCGGGGCGGGGCGGAGGGGGGGGGCACTGGGCGGGCGTGTCCCCTGCCTGCCTGGGAGAATGAATCACAGCCTGATGTGCAGCAACGTGTCTGTGCAGCACGGGGGGGTGGTTTTGTGAATGGGAATGGAAGGCAGGCGTGGGAACGGCAGCCCTACTCGGCACGTGGGGGGGGGGGAACGACAGGGGGGTGTTAAGGTTTTGTTTTAAAATAACCCGCTGCCCCTGCCCTGTCCCTGTCACAGCCTGCGCCCCAGCCCCCTCCGGACGTGGTGCCGGCAGGGACCTGGCCAGTGTGTCTGTGGTGTGCGTCCCCGTGTCCCGGCGTGTGCCCACTGGGACACTGAGCGGGTCCCCCAGGCCCTGGGCTGCTGGGGCCCATCTAGGGTGACCTGATGTCCCAATTTTATAGGGACAGTCCCGATATTTGGGGCTTTTTCTTATGTAGGCTCCTATTACCCTCCACCCCCGTCCCGATGTTTCACACTTGCTGTCTGGTCAGCCTAGGCCCGTCCCCCAGGGCTGCTGGAACCATTTGTGCCGTGGGGGGCTGAGAGCCAGTGAGGTGATCAAAACGACTGCAAGCCAGGGGCTGCGGCCACCTCCCCCCATTCCAGCACCTCTGCCTTCCCCTTTCACCCCTGTCTGTCCACTTCTCCGGCCTCGGGGGGCTCCAGCCGTGGGGGACCAAGTGCCACGTGAGTGCGCTGGCAGGAGCTGGGGCCGCCCGGCCGGCACGGGGCCAAGACCTGGTTCTTTAGTGCACATGCAGCACAGTGGGTGTGGGGGGCAGGGAGGACACACCCCATCCCTGTGAAACACTACAGGAGCCCCCAGGTCTGGGCGCAAGCGCCACCTCTGTACAAATGGCCCTTGGCGCCGACTGGATTAAAACGTTGCTTCTGTAGCGGCCACTTGTCGTGTGATTCCTCCTCCCACCCCAGCCGCGTCACAGCCCCCTTGGCCCCCACTGCCCCCTTGGCTCCCGCACTCGCTGCCCCCTTCCCCTCCGCGCCCGCTGCCCCCTTTGCTCCCGCTGCCCCCCTGCCGTCAGCCCAGCCCACACGCACTGTGGGATCCGTGCTCTGAACCTGCCCCCGTCAGTGAGAGCAGCACCTCGGGGTGAGGGGCGTGTTCACGGGGATCAAGGAGAGATGTCGCATCGTAGAACCGGGACCCAAGGGAGGGGACAGTCTCGGGGGGGGGGAGTCCTGGGGCAGATGGTCGGGGGAGGGATTGGTTCTGGGGCAGCAGGGTGTTGGGGGGAGGCCAGGGTGTCACGGAGTCCCCGGGCGATGCTCTGGAACTGCTCCCCACAAAGCCAGTCAGGACTCTGGGGAGCCTCCTCTCCCTCGGAGCAGACTGTCTTCAGGGCAAGAAGCTCACACGGCTTCACCTCCTGGGTCTCTCCTGGGAGCATTCAGCATATGCCCCTCCGTGTGCTTCCCACAGTGAGTCGCCCCGGCGGGGTCCTGGGGAAGCCAGAGGGTCCTGCACCCCCACTTTGCAGTCAGACGTGACTCTCAGCCAGCCAGTAAAACAGAGGTTTATTAGATGACAGGAACATGGTCTAAACCAGAGCTTGTAGGTCCAGAGAACAGGACCCCTCAGGCGGGTCCATTTTGGGGGGCAGTGAGCCAGACACCCACGTCTGCACTTCACTCCTCGTCCCCAGTTAGCTCCAAACTGACTTCCCCTCCAGCCCCTCCTCCTCTGGGCTTTGTCCCTTTCCCGGGCCAGGAGGTCACCTGATCTCTTTGTTCTCCAACACCTTCAGCTGGCACCTTTGTAGAGGAGGGGCCCCGGTCATTAGTTGCCAGGAGACAGAGTGTCGGCCATTTATGCACACTGGCCATTATCCCACCACCTGGAGACTTAAGAAATGCATAGGGGAAACTGAGGCACCCACACAGGACTCAGAGGAAACATTAAGAACAGTCCCACTTCGTCACACATGGTATTGGTGGGTGGGGGGTATGTCCCGAGGGGGGATGGGGCAGGTCCCACGGGTGAGTGGGAGGTTGGTTGGAGGGGCTGCCCATGGCGCGGGGGGAATGGGGAACCTGTG